AGAGCCCGTCTCTCGACCTCGATCTTCCGATAGATGTGTCCCTCGAGGATCTTGAATCCGCCGAAGAGTGAGCCTGACGCCGTCGATATCTTGATCCATGGGCCGGCGAGTGAACGCGCGATCGGGAACGCGAGAATTCGTGAATATCTCGCCCTCGATCGTACGAATCCCGGGATCTTTTCTCGCGTGAATGTCGCGAATATTTCTTTTTTGCCTTATGTTTTGGCATAGCGAAGAAGAAGTCAAAAAATACTTGAAAAAGGAAGGTGAAAAAAAAGTACACGTTGTCTGGGTGAACGAACAGAACACAATGAAGTGGAGGGCGCGCGCAGCGCAAGCAGTGAGGAAAAGACGAACCGCGCGCATAGCCAATTTTTGTTTTATATAGCGCGGTTTTTTGAACTCTGTTGTCTGGGCGCGTGCAGGGGCACGACTACATAGTTTTATATATCCATCCGGACGAGACATTGGGGCATAATATAATATATATTACTATTTAAAATACAATGTGGTATAATAGGGCTACCGGCGAAGGTCCACGTTGAAAAACCTAACGCGCTATAAGTGGCACCTCATGGGTGGCGCGGAAGACCACTCAATAATTAATAATAAAACTATTTGAGATTTAAATTAGGCTTGTAATCGATCAAAGATTGCCAATGATATCGTGTAGAACCGGCGCGTTTAGGTCCGTAACTACACGCGTACCGATCTGTCAACTGTTATTGATTTTTACAAGTCAGGTGATATTGATTTTTACTGCACAGCTGATTTTCCACGGACGCAAAATGCATGTGGATTTTCGTCACTCGAAATATGGGAGTTGTGACTGTTAAATACTCCTTCACCAGTAAAACATGACTCGTCCGTAAATAACATTTTAATGACCAAATCAGAATCTCTATTTTAATTCTCTAATAACAATGTATAAAATTAGATTCTTCTAGATGAAAATGTTTTCGATAAAGATGCGTTACATTGTATTTATTGTAAGCGTTTTAATCTGATACAGAAAATACAATAAGTATATCGTAATGTTCATGTATAATCTCCCATCATTTTCAACATGATTATTGGAAAATGAAAATAAAGATTCTGGTTTTGTCCATAAAATTTTATTTACAGACGAGTCACGTTTTACTCGTGAAGGAGTAGTTAACAGCCACAACTCTCACATTTGGAGTAACAAAAATCCACATGCATTTCACGTCCGTGAAAAATCAGCTGTGCAGTAAAAATCAATATCACCTGACTTGTAAAAATCAATAGCAGTTGACAGATCGGTACGCGTGTACGTGTAATTGCAAATCTGAGCGTGCCAGTCCTACGCGACATCATTAGCATCTTTGATTGTTTATAACTTAAAAACTATTGTAGTCTTGATATTTTTGTATTAAGATTCTTTACTCTATTTTATCTTCAAAAAATACTATTAAAGTATTAAGCGGTAGTTATGAGACACCCTGTATAACATAATATTAAACTCTAAAGTATTAACTATCGCAATTAACGCATATTAATAATTTATAAATATTTTATGTTCTGATATTTTATTAATATCAATATTATTTACTTTTTACAAGATCACATAAATCTCGAAAAAAGCATTTCACGTTGTCATACGCAACAAGCGCGCAACGTCGCTTTGATAAAAAGGAGACGGAACACGTATGTCCACTCGCTTCTACAAACTGAACGACGAAGCGCACACGTACGTGTGACGTCACGATTCTCGTTTGTGTGCGTGCTTCCCCTACCGCGGTGCTCGGGTGCTGGCCGGCTCGAGTTTGCATCACTGTCTACATACATACATAGCATATAGGTTAGTCTGCTGCACGGGCTGTACCGTTGCAAGTGAGATTAACAACAGTATAAATTCCTAACTGATTGGCTGCTGACTGTTAGTTAATAGTTACATTGGAAAGAGTGATGTTTGTCTGAACGTTCTCCATTTTATAATTGTTAAGTTTTATTTACATCTATCATTTGATGATTTTTGCTTGCCTAACCATTCAAGCAATTCAAGTGAAAGTACACTCCATTTCTTTGGAATTGGAACAAATCCGTTGGACAGATTCGTGAGCAGAACAGGCCAATTTATCTTGCAAAGATCGAAAATCAAAAACGAGAAAAACAACGAAGATTATTTTACTGGTAAAGTAGCATTTTATTGTTCCATATTTTAACTCTCAAACATAGCCATATTTCAAACTCTCAATTTCATATATTAAATTTATATTGTGTTATCAATAATAAATGTAACAATATTTGATATCAATTTAATATGAATTCTATATGTTTGACATATTAATAATGAAATATTTTTTATACTGTGACGTCACACAAAGTAAGTCTCATCAGTCATGATAAATTAAGTTGTGATGATATTTCTTAAATTATGACCTGTGTGAAGATAATAGCACATATGTATATATACATGCATATATACATACATACACATGATATTGCAATTTTACATGTTCTGGAAGAGATCATTGAATGAGTCACTTTAAACGTTTCGATCACCTATTTCGATCTATTTTGCGATCTATTTTTCTAAATGTACGATAAAATTTGTCCAAAATATGCATTGTTTGCTCTTTCGAAAAACATGGATAAGTTATGATAAAATTAGGTTTTTATGTTGTTTTGTGTGAACTTACCTTCTTGCTTTATTTAATTGCAAGACCGACTATATCAGACTAATGGGCATTAAAAATTACAAATTAAAATTTGAAATTTAGTTAAGATAAAATGAGCTAAAATTGAGATGAGATTACTTAAGTGGTCGAACTCCAATCTTCAAACTTGTTATCTCATCTTTTACGTAAATGACTCTTGGACGTTAGTCACAGAGCCGCTGCAAGCTGGTGTGCAAGTTGTGCATTGTACGACACATTAAGGGGGGCGCCAAATTAAATTTTGAAAATTCTCCATTCCTAACACCAATTGTGCTCGCTTCTATCAGATATAACTTTTTTTGAAATAAGTACTGTATATCAATTTAGAGAAACTGTATCGTACAATCTAAAACTATTGATCGAATCATATAGACGTTTATTTTTTGGCGTTTCTAAAATCTTTCTCTACACATTTTAGTACTAAGAGCAAAAATAAAATATTGCGCTATCTATTAGAACAAATTATTTAAAAAAATATCTTAATAAAAATACACTCTTGTTTTTATATTTAAAAAATTGATAAATAAAAATATTAATGCAAAGAGAGCATCAAAATTCCCTTGGCACAATAGTCTTATATGCCAGTAGCGGCTCTGTTAGACAAATAAAATAATGTTATTATTATTTCTTCTTGAAAAACACTGCTAATATGCTAATCTGTCGTAAAAAACTTTTAAAGTTACTTCGAATAAAAGTTTAAATGATTAGATAAGAATAATCATTTAAACTGACATTAAAATATTTTGCATACAATTTTTGCATGTAATGCGATTAAAGTGCAAATAAAAAGCCACCTGAAGGAATGCGTAGTGAGAAAAAAGTGACGCACACATGTATAGATGCATATGATGATTGCAATCTTACATTTTACCGAAGAGATCACTCACTTGTTTACTTTAAATGTTTCGATCACCCATTTCGATCTATTTTGCGAACGATGCGAATCGAGCAGCCAGGCGGTTCCAACATTCTCTGAATCGAGAAACTGATTCCCCTCGTGACCGGTGCACCGGCGCACATCGTCGGCGCTGGTATATACAGAACTCGTGCTGGAACTCGAGAGCGAAGAGGCTCTCATGGTTCTCCTCTGCGAAAAACTCCATTTATTAATACAATAAATGGAATCGCGCCTTTCGCCGCATTTCTTACTTGACTAATTCGATACTAATCACTCACTTGGAAGACATGCTGTCTGTTTCTCATCTACAACCGTTCCTCACTTATTGTAACCGTACTTTTTCGTGCGCTTCTCGACCGGTGTGCATCGAGAAACTCCACGCCATGTCGGCGGTGTTGATTACATCCCAGAAATGTAGAAAGCACTGTTTTAACTATGTAACGGCAATGTCGAGTTCAGTCCTTGACATGAATTGATGCGCATATGCGTGCGAATTCACCGGCTTTCGTGCAAACATAGTAGCGAGTGATAACGTGATCTCTGTGAACGTGGAGAAGTTGTTAAAAAAGAAACACACTTACGTCACTGAACGAATCGCCAGAAGACATGCCTATTACAGCGTGTTACGTGTTTCTAACACGCTTTACACAATGCAGAACTGACAAGAGAAACTGTGCAGCTGAAAATGTATCAGCTGTGAGTAAAATCGATGTGAGCGTGCGCAACAAGCGTATCAACGAACATCAGGACCGTAACCGAGAAATAAAGTTTAGTCCGCTCCAGTTTCGAAAGATTGAGACGAGTGCATATTTCTTTCGATTAATTAAAGATACGCAAATAACACAACAAAATTGAGACGAGTGCACGTCTTTCGATAAATTAAAGGATAAACTTCCGAAAAGCTATCACCCCCGATTTTGCTGATTTTTAGCGAAATTACTTATTTTATGTAGTAAATAATATTCCAAAATGGATTTTTGGCGCAAATGCCCCCTCCGCCCCCAGCCCCCTCAAAGGTAAAACTGTTTTGTTAATTATTTCAGAAAGTATTCATTGTACGGAAAAAGTTGTCGAACAAAAAATGAAGCTCATAAAATGCTTTACAAATAAGGCCCTATACATATTTTATCTAACTCCAATATTTTAGCCGTTATTATCAAAAATCTGGAGGCAGTGTGTTCCGTCTCCCTGCGGGGGGTTCCACCATCAAAAAACTATATACATAGGGTTTGGATTGAATCTCGCTTTGCGTAGAAACTCGTAAACCCACGTGGAACCTCGCTTCGCATTGTAAAGTGTATGCGTGGATGCAGTGAGTGCCGCCCCTCCTACGGGGGCTTTTACAAGTTTTTTTGATAATAATGACTAAAATATTGGAGTTAGGTAAAATATGTATAGGACCTTATTTGTAGAGCTTATTATGAGCTTCATTTTTTGTTTAACAACTTTTGCCGTACAATAAATACTTTCTTAAATAATTAACAAAAACAGTTTTACCTTTGAGAGAGGCTGGGGGGCGGAGGGGACATTTGCGCCAAAAATTTATTTAGGAATATTATTTACTAGATAAAATAAATATTTAGGCTGAATACCAACCAAATCGGGAGTGATAGCTTTTCGGAAGTTCACCCAAATTAAAGATACACAAATAACACAATAAAATTACAAACACGTGCGATAGCACGTGTAATAACGTGTAACATGTACGTATTCATACCTCGGTTCTTGCAGCAATTCGAATGTGCAATTGTTCAAACTAATTTTCTCCATCATTTTCCCGTAGAAGATAGATCTCTGAGACTCCACAATGCAGATCCCGAATATTCTACGCTGAACACCTCGACCGCACTTTTCACACTGTCGCGCGCAGATGCTTTTCAACGAATTTCCACCAGTGTTCAAATGTAATTGCATTAACCACTATCTCATATCTTTGAACAAACACAAAAAAATTTTTTATTCAATCTATCGAGAAAAAATTCAATGATGTGAGGCCATGCGAGAGAGCAACGCGAGACACGATATACATGAAGAAAGAATGCCGGTTTCGGAAAGTCTGGTGTCGTAAAACATGTATACTCCGTCCAGCGAGAAAATATGCACGGCTCGGACGAAAACTCGTTTCGCGCAGGTTTCCCTAACGGGACGCTTAAAAAACCCCCCACTCCACATGACTGCACTGCTCATGCAGCTTGTCAATGCAAACGCTCTCCCCACTTTGGCCGCTATGCTTCTTCTATGCACAGGAAGTTATATTCTCTCGTTGGACAGATAAAATGATGTATTTTCCGAGAAAGAATACACACTATAAAACGTACTGGAACTACTAGAAGAACTAGAGAATGTGCTAGACGGGGGAGGAAGGCGTATAAGAATACGTTTCACGAACAGGATCAAGAAGAAGGGATATACCCTAGTATACTAGGAAAAATATTTAGTTGAAGGAACGAAAATTTTGTCACGGTGACAAAAATATTTGGTTGAAATATGCTCAACTAAATCTAATTATCCTAAACAAATGTCTTTGTTAGCAAAATTTTTTTTCTTATTTCTTTCCTTGATATATAACTGAAAAATATTAACGAAACAAGTTTTATTAATTTATAAACAAAAAAAATGTTTTGTTGTATTAATTTTATTTTATTAACTTAACTACTTAACTTAACTTAACTTTGCTTTATTAAACTATCTTTTTTAACTTGGTTATTTAAACTACATATAACATCTCATTTTTATTAAAAATTTTCTAACAACTTAAATTATTTTTAAAACAACAAAATGTAAAAATTATTTTAGCAAAATCAACTAAATCTTTTATAATATAAAACAAAATATTTGGTTGCTATAAACAAAAGCCTTAACTAGAAAATTTTGTTAAAAACACTAAATTTTTTTCCTAGTGTAGGGATCTACTCTAAGAAGTCCACCTTTATTAAAGTTCAACATCATGAGTAGTAAAAAATTTTGGAGAAGAAACTGCAACGCGCGCATATTTGACAAGAATGCATCGAGAAATGCGCAAAACAAAATGGAATTCGATAGCTTCCAGATATTTTTTTTATTTGCACTAACTTTATACACTCAGACATCGTTTATGTCGCAACTCTTTGTAATGTTAACATTGATATAACACTCGCATCCGACAAAGTTCCTGAAATTTTATCATTTTTTATTATTTTATCTGACAACAGTCAACGAATATACAATTATTTTCAATGAATCCGAGCTGCGCGCATATAATTGACAATTTTGAATCAACAGACAACTCGGTTGTTCGCAGATAAGCGATTCGAATTCAAAGAATACATGGACGTCATAGGCGTACGCGTGGAAACAATCGAAAGCCTCGTACGTACGATAGTAAGGATAGTTACATCAGCTTTATAAATTATAATGCAATATATCAACAACAATATTATATAAATTAAATAGACGCCGATAAAACGATCCATACCGCAATGTCGACAACACAATTCGACAACTTGCTCTTCATAAATTCTTAATTACAACCATCAACAACATACAGTCGAAATTTCATAGTTTTTCTTTTGATTTTTTCTTTCTTACTATTTCACATTTTTCTAACCACATGGCAATATTAGAATAAAAAACAGAAAATACTGTTTGATGAATTTAATAAATTATTGATAGATAACATCAAAAAGATGCATACTCTTTCCGATAATAAGAGTATTATATGTGTATCTTCAATTTTTCATTTATTTCTTTATTTTAATGCTGCCGTATAATTAGACAAAGCGACGAGATAAAGGGGGAAAAATGGAAAATCAGAAGAAAAAATACAGAAGTTCCCGTCTATGTAATAAATAATATATTAATATTATCGATGGAATCATATACAGGGTGTCCCATTTATCTCTTCCACCTCAAATAACTCCGTTAATTTTACAGATACGAAAAAATGAGGAAATAGTCTTGCTATTACTCGTGAAGTAATATTCTTAAGGCATTAAGAATGCGTTCTCTCATTCTGCGCTGCTGTCGGCGTATCTTGGTACACAATATCTTTTATTGTTCCTCATGAAAGAAAATCAAGTGGTGTTGGATCCGGAGAGCATGCCGGTCAGTTAATATTTATTCTTGAGCCCCTATCAATCTACTGTTCTGCAAACATGTTATTTAATTCATTTCACGTATCACGTACTATATCTATATTATATTATACACGTAATACTTTAAGAAACATGTTTCCGGAAAAATGGATTGATAGGGGCTCAATAATTAACTGGCCGGCACGCTCCCCGGAGATCTAACACCACTTGATTTTTTTTTTATGGGAAACAATAACAGATATTATGTACCAAGATACACCGACAACAGCGCAGAATATGAGAGAGCGCATTATTAATGCCTTAAGAAATATTACTCCACAAGTAATCGCAATAGCAAGACACTTGTTTATCGAAAGTTTGCAAAAATGTATTAACGTCAATGGTAAACATATATTTTGAACACTTATTAAAATAAATAAACTATATTAATATAAAATAAATAATATTCAGATTTATTGATTATGCCATTTTAGCGTGATTTTGCAGCACAAAATCATCTGAAGGTTACATTATTATATTGGTTTAACTTCTTTCGGAATCAATTAAAACATCATCTACCTAAAACCATATAATTCCGTTTAAAAATATATTGATGATTTTGAAACAACCTTCAAAATGATTTTTATACGATTTTTTATTTTTTAAAAATTAAACGAAAAGCTACGTAAAGCCCGAGCCGGATCTTTATTGCTGAAATTTTTTCAAGAAGAAAATTACACAAAACAGACGTTTCAGCCACTAAACGTTGAGCATGAATAATAGTATTAATTTCTTAAACATACAGATTACTATTGAAAATAATAGATTCATTTTTTATCTGTATTTCAAATCAACATTTTCACGCAGATACTTAAATTTTCACTCACATCATTCTACCATCCACAAGAGAGATGTTATTTTGGGTTTAGTTGATAGAGTTTTGACTTTTTCCGATATAAGATTTTAACAAAAAAATTTTGAAATAATCATCTCCATTTTACTGGAGAATTCTTATCCTCTAGATTTTATCTTTTCCATAATTAAAAAAAGGATCAAATCTCATTTCCACAAAATTAACTCTTCACACTCTAATAGAGGTAAAAAACAATTTTTCTTAATCCCTTACATCAAAGGCATTTCGGAAACATTTCAATCCAAAATCAACACAACTTTAAAACTGCCTTTTTTTGTAATAATAAACTAGACATATTCATAAAAACAGGAAAAGATTTATTAGATTCTATGCAGCGGAATGGAGTTGTATATAAAATCTCCTGTTTTGAGTTGTTTCTTACGTTGGTCAAACCAAGAGACAGTTAAAAACGAGAATCAAAGAACATCAGATGGATATTAAGAAAAGATCTGACTCTCCCTCTGTCATCCCTGCTCATAGACTGGATTTTAACCATGATTTCGATTGGGATCATGTTAGAGATTTAGATAGTGAGTCCTTATATGGCAAAAGATTGATTTCCAAAATCCTGCATATCAAACGTCAACTAATAGCCTCAATAAACAGAATGACACCGAACTCTTTCCGGATTCATATCTATCTATCCTTTCTAAGTTCCCCACCTGTTAGATGTGTCTTTCCGTTGACTGTTTCATTGCGTTAACGTTTTTAAAATTTTGCGAGTCCAAGCTTGAATTTTATCTTTGATTATTTCTGTGTTACCCTCTATGATCTGTACACGCTGATATTTATTTTTAATTTTTTTGAATTGTTACACTGATGATGGCCAAAACGTTTAGTGGCCGAAACGTCTGTTTTGTGTAATTTTCTTCTTGAAAGAATTTGAGCAATAAAGATCCGGCTCGGGCTTTACGTAGCTTTTCGTTTTATTTTTAAGAATTGTAATTTCTATAAAATCCTTATTTTTGTATTATTTTTATTAGAATTTTTAATTTTTATTTTTAATTTTTGTATCTCTCTCGTTGAACCATACAACTTCTTCCTTAAACATTTTCTTCGTATCTGTAAAACTAACGGAGTTATTTGAGGTGTAAGAGATAAATGGGACATCCTATATAAAATAAATATGTATCGGAATGACTAGTATGCAAGTATCAATTATAAACAAAATAAGCGAATACACGGGCTGATTCTAGTACACTTCTAACGATTTTTCACCAAAAATGAAACGCATTCTCATTGTAATCATAAATACACTGCTAAATGTCCAGAGAACGTCGAGAAATCTGTTCACATGAATTTGTACGCACATATATGCTTTACGCAGTTTTTAGAGTGTCAATTCTAACGACTACTTACACTATCGATTAATTGCTACTTATTTTATCTAATTTGTTAATAATTATCACGTAGATGTCAGTCATAAGATAGCCATGGAATTCACGTCGATAAATGTAGTACGATTGTAACTACCGAGCAACATTTGACATTCACAAAAGACACAAATTCAAGATTTATTTCTTGTTTTCTCAAGTGGTTTAACTTTACGTACCCGATTAACGCTGAAACGTTTTTCAAGAGCTCCTCTTTGATTCGACGTTGTTACCACTTTCTGTCAAAAGAACTTTCTCGGGTGTTCGACTTCCATTCTGACTTTTCCACAAGTTTCTATGACTTGCGTCGGCAAATTAAAGATAAATTGAACCGGAACTTTGATGGATATAACGAGTTCTTTGCGAATTCGTTTTTGACGCAAACTTTCATCGATAACGATCGAAAACGATCGATGATTAATTCTCTCCTTTTACGAGGCAAGCGAGCAAGGGAATTCCACTCCAAATAATTCTATCGACGATATATTAATCAGCTTTGCTCCTTTCTTTGTGATAAAGGCTGGCTTCACATCATCGTTGCGTTACGTAATGTTGCAAGAGTAACAGTACAAAAATATAATTTTAGGATATGTCAATATATCAATGTCGAGCGTAAAGGCGATGCGCCGAATCTTCGTCCAAACTTGTTTACAAAGCTTATCGGAATATATTTAAAAAAAAAAAGAAACGATAGATCATTCTTTGTGCTAGTACAAAATGTATACGCATAAACCAGTTATTTTTCAAATGACTTTCCTTTCTTTCGTATCGATAGATGCTAGTTATCAAAATAATTGTGTTGCGGTTGGTTAACTCTTTATTTTTTTTTGTAAACTCTCACAAAATAGTCCGTCTCACAAAATAATCCGTCTCACAAAATAGTCCGTCACGATTGCGTGCTCTCTTATTTCAGAAACTGCCTACAGTGCCGTGTATCAGTGTCGCTTAAATATACGCGACAGAATCTCATTTTGTCCGGGACACGAACGGATTAGCCAAAAGAAAATACATTTAGGAGATAAGCTTAAGAGGAGGAAGTCAGGAGGGGTCTCAGTTGCGCAGCTTCCTCACGATCCTCAGCAACTTCGGGCTCGCAGTTGCCACTTTTCGACTTTCGCCGCGGAAGCCTCGTCTGCAGTTCCTCCTTCGCCCTTTCGAGATTATCGTCTTCATCATCTCTCTCAGTTACGGCCTTAGTCTCGATCTCCTCTACGCTGCTCCAACTACTCTCGCTTTCGCTATATTCTCCCTTTTTCGTATTACCATTTATCTTTTCCTTATCTCTCTTGTTCTGCCCACCGTTTTCCTATATTTAAATAATTAATTCAATTTAATTCAGTTGAACTTTTTATCACAATTACTAAATAATGAAATAATGAAACGGAAAATTACACGAAATTATAATTTCAAAATTGTTCTTCAAGCTTTATAAATTGCACAAAATTATTTCTACGATAATTGCGCGATCGATATTAATATAAGGGATATTTTAAAATACACGAATCCACTTACTATGGCGAGAGATTTGAGCAGCGTGGTCGTTGTAGTGGCTGTTGTTGTATCCGTGGTAGTATCGCTACTCTCGCTATTGTTGTTCGGTCTGACTGCGGTCGATAGAGCGCCTTCTTCCAAATTCTCGTCGTGTGCGCCTCGTCGTGATGACCAGCCGTCCGCTGAATTTTTCGCGTTGCCCTTGACGTACTTGGGAGCCACGCCGGTGGTCCACACGCTCGCGTCGCTGCTCTCCGTGCTGCTCTCGCTTCCGATGCTGCAGTGCCGCCATCGGCGTTCTGTGCACGCGCAAAAGATTTCTTAAATAAAGTCGAAGGCTAATCTACCTTAACTACGTCCAATGATCTATCTATTTGCAAATTTCTCCGTACGAATTTACGTGATACGTTCAGCGATATCACGTTGGAAACTCATCTCATTCTCGTTTATAGAGAAAAGAATATTGTATGACTACAGAATTTTTTACGAGGAAGGGAAAACATGGATTCATGCAACATAAAAAGAAAATTCGCGACAGAAATAAATTAGTCATTTTTCACAATTCTTTTAGCTAGCGACTTTATCCCCCAAAAAAATCAAAATAAATGCAACACTACAAATGTTAATATATCTCAGACATACTTTCGCATGGCGGGAGGTTAGTATTGGAATTGAAGGGTTTTCTCAGCAGCGGGCTCTCGCCGTCCTGACTCTCCTCGCTGTACGCGCGCGTTATGAGGATCCTCGGACTCTTCTTTGGGATCTCGCACATAGCTATGGAACAGCCCGCGCCCAACTCCGCCCCGATAAAGTCACTCCGATAATGAGGACCCATCAGATTGGCGGCGCTCGCGCTTGCCTTCACCGAATTGTTCGGCTCACCTTTAGCGCATCATGATGAAAGGATGACGCTCATATCAGTGTCGAAATGTTTATCCATCAAATCGATCAAAAGGTCTTTCAAAAAATTGATTTGTTTCATCGGCGATATTTATATTATACGTGGAAACATCCTCGTTAAAATACAACATATTACGTTATCGGTTTTCTCAATCGCGGGCATTGTTTGAACACAGCTGTAAGTTAGAACGTTATCGGTATCGCCGATCGTACAATTTATATACGTACCTGATTCGGTGGTCGGCACTCTGAGGGTGTTGCACGAGGCAGCAGGTTGCAATCTGCCACGCTGGAACCCGAAGTTATTACTTTCGAAACTACTTCCAGTTCTATAGGAACCAAGGGCCAGCAGTGTCTCGCTGAGCCTTCGTTGTAACGGCGGAAAGGGGAAGAAGGAAGCGTTTCCACTGCCGGAAGGACGTCGGGAGCCGGCGACGCTCGGTGTCCTCGCTTGTATCTCCTGAAATACGATTTACGCGCCTACGCTGCTGTATATATATAAGTAATTGAATGTAAGAGCCAGTAATAATCGTAAACTTCGGAAACGACAGCTGCCTGTCGCATTCTTCGCGTGCGCGTCATTTTACGAGCGTCGTTTTTCTCTCGTTCGAATTACCTGCTGTAGCTCCGATTTTGTTGCCTTTTTCCGCCAATAGTTCTGCACAGATCGTCGCAGGGTTTGCGATTTCAGGCCGTAGAGAAGGCCGTTGATGGGCGGCGAGCAGGCAAGGAGGAGTGATGCCAGAGATTCAGCGAGTCTTGGATACGCGTGGTGTCGGGGCTGATTGCCGGCGCTGCAGGCTTCCCAGAGAATCAGTCCGCAGTAGGGAAAGTAAAGCAAATACAGGGAGCCTACTAGTTGCATCACCTGAAAAGAGTGGTTCGCGCAACTGATAAGACTGTCGTGGCAGCAGTCTTTGATCGTAGCGCGCAACTAATATTTGAAAGGCCCTGGATCAAATCTTACAATCTTAGAATTGACACTAGACCGGTGGGTGCATAATCATGAGACGCTACGAACGAAGAAGTTTAGTGTGTGCTTTTCCGACGCCTCCCGGCGTGGTATCTATCGATTTGACTTGCTAACTCTCCGAGGTAGAAAATTAAATTACAGATCGGGCTTTAACTACAGCGCTTTTGATTAGCCCGATTAATTTAAGCCGAGCGATAAAGGTTACATTCGTCGGATATTTTCGCTGAAGAAAAATCGATTGCAAATTGACCGAATAATGCGTCATTGCCGGAACGTTGTAAGGGAAGCTTTGGGAAAGTAGTGGGGAAATATTATTTTTAGATTTTCTATGTCAATCGTAATGCTGAAAACTCCATGAAAATACAATGTTGTACGAACCGTGCTGGCGGCGCTGTGAAAACGCGGCGGTCCGCCGGCGGAGGGTGCGGTGACAGTTGGCACAAAAAACGGATTCCGCTGATGGGTAATGGTCACCTGGGCGCTGAGGGTGACCTCGTAAATCGCGCTGGCGATGCGATGCCGATGATAGCGCGCTATGCCCAACACACGTAAATTGCAGACCGTGACGAGGATAGCCGGCAAGCCCAGGCTTAGGATGGCGTAAACGGCGCCGTAAAGCGCCGCGGCCGTACCCCAAGCGCCATTCCCGAAATCTGGGGCGCAACAACCCAGTCCTGGATTGTATCTGATCGATACAGCGGATTGAAAAATAATAAGTCGGATTATTTTACGCGGTGATTATTGCAAAATAATCTAATTGGCATTTAACAAATTAAGAGTCTCTCTACAATAAGCACATACAAATTAAATTAATTTAATCAACGAAATTTGATTTGAAATTGTTATATCGCAATTAAATTGTTTTGCAATAACCTCTTACAAATTAAATTAAATTCTGCAACAATCGCACACAGTGATACACTGTATGAATGATACACTGTATGAATGATACACTGTATGAATGATACACTATATGTATGATACACTATATGTGATTATTGCAGACTTTAATAGCAATTTAATCTGCACGAGATTATTTCAGAATGATTTAATTGCAATTTGACAATTTAATTTAATTGGTAATTTAATTTGTATGTGTACATATTAAATACGTGATTAAAAGTGGATAAAGAGCTTATTGAAACGTTAATAGTTTACATTTCATTTTGAACTGACGGTGCGCGCAGACGAAATCTTGAAGGTGAATTCTTTTTTTAAGAGAGAGGCGCATTCGGAGAACCGACGCGGAAATTGTCTCGCAGCGGTGCCTTTATGCAATGCAAAACAACTCACGCGAAGCAAGAGAATATAAAGTAAATCGAATTTCGTTCATTATGCGAGCGAATGCAGCAATTGCGATGCAATACCGTAGAAGACACAAACAACGCTGCGAAACATAAGCAACACGAGTCCGTCAATGTTATGTCTATGGTGATAATAGTAGTAGTGGTTAATGGTGTAACATGTATATACAAACTTATAAGGTGGCACCAGACCGGAGAACGGCGGCAAGCACAGGAGTAGAGCGCCCGTCCAAGAAGCAACCAGCCCGACGACTACGCGTCGCGGAGAAACCAAAGCGGCATAATGCAGCGGTGCGGCAATCGCGTAATACCTGCATAGAGTAATTGCATAGCGTGGGAATGGGTGCTCGAGACATAATTGGATGCCGCGCAAGGTTCTATTTCACATCTAGCCGGGCATCTAATTCATACACATTCGGGCAAACTCGTTAGGCCCTTCAGATATTGTTTAATCGGACTAAAATAATCGGACAATAAGCGAAGACCGGACAATAAGCGTGATTCCCGAACGTTCCGACGCGCTTTCCAGGACAATTGATGAAAATGCGAAACCACGGGAAGGAAATCCCCGAAGATGCAGAAGTCATGACAACGCGAACGAAATGGTAGTCTAAATCTGTTAAGTTACTGAATAAAACATTCCGTGGTCGATCGAGCTGCGCGGTCAGGCCCGGTATTGTTTTTCGTAAAAGAGAGACGGAAGTTTTCTATATTTTCGAACGTTTCCTCAAAGGATCGTGCATAACGACACGGAAACGGGATTTTGTAAGGATTCGCGATCGAAGAAAGAAATGCGGAATTTCACAGAAAGCTAAATCTGCGCTCTAAGTAATTTACTCGAATAATACAATTTGCGCAGCGTAAGATAGAAAAATTTTTTCTCACAAAATTTATTATACATGAAACGCGTAGCTGTTAAACGCGAGTCCGCGGCGAGAGGATAAGCAACAAGTAGAAATGGAACGACGCGATGCGATTCTAGGTTGCGGACTATATATCAAGCGGACGTCTTGTATCATCCGATAGCTACGGCGATATTGTCTGAGCTTGTGGAATCATTATTGACATCTTGCATCGGAAATCTCGTTGTCTTTTGTGTCAGGCACAGCCGAGGCCTCGTTTGCGTTACTCGTGTGCCATATATCGAGATTGAACTCGATTTTTATTGAAAGTTCTCGCAAGAGGAGTTCCTTTTGACCCTCTCGTGCTTTTCGCCCTCGATTTACTCGTTCAACGATGACGTAAAATTCTATTTAACAGCATTTTGATGCACCATAAATGGAAGCTGGTGTGCTAGTATGTGGAACGGTTGAGATAATATAAAAATACTTTTCATTACAAGAAAAAGTTTTTTATCGAACATACTGTGCAAAATAATTCAATGGAAAATACGTAAAAAACACGCGATTCAGGAAACACAAAAGGATATTCGAATCACGTACTTTAAATGCGCATCGTATAAAATGCAATTTTTCTTTTCACGTGCGAATATAATGATTAACAATCGCCGCGTGTATCCCTTTTGTAAGTCTCGTCGCATCAATTGCCGTTTATTGAAGAATCGGCTGCATTGTTCGCTTTTGTAAACGACTGAGTTGAATAAAAAACTGATATCGGTCGTCATTTACACATAAATCTCAATTTGCGGCATTGAATACTGATATAAAAATGAGAGAGAGAGAGAGAGAGAGAGAAAGAGATAAAAAAAAACTTACCTGTCGCAATTTAATCCGGTGACGGTCCAAAGAGCGACCGGGTGTAAAAGCGCTAACAGAAATCCGTGAAGAACACACCAAGTGTCGGCGAACGGCCACGAACCCGTGGTGAAAATCAGCAATATTAGGCACACCGCCGCTTCCACAGCGCCCAAATGGATCAATAACAAAGTATTCGCCGTCTGCTGCTGCTGCGTCTGCGGACATCGACGGTGCGTTTGATGACTTCACTCTATCGCGCCCTTGCCGGGACTATCCGAACTGTCGCTGCTTGATACCCGTGAGTGTTCGTAACTTAAACTTTTGATAGTTCCGTGTAAACAACCGCAATCTCGCGCGCCGGCGACTTTACAATTCGAATCTTGAATTATTATCCGATAGTTTCATCCGCGATAAACGGAAGCTTGAAAGCGGCTCGAAAAAAAGCAAACAGAATCCGCGCAATCGCGCGTTGCGAAAAGAGAGATGATGCTTTGCCATCTTTAATCGTTCGTTCGGTGGTAAATAAATCGTCCGTGTAAATAAGCTTTTTCAAATTCGCCGTGCGTGTATTTATAATTTCGGCGAGTTTTTACTTCTTTTCTTTTTCGTTTTGCCGCCGTTGTAGCTTGGATATACGCTTGCGGCGTATATTTTTTAATATCGTAAATCCTTTGAGCGAAATGTGTTTGTATGTGTGTGTGTGTTCTGTGTGCGTCGGACAGAGAATTAATTTACGTTTGAGAAAGCGTTTGAGTCTGCACGCGTTTCTCGAATTTATTGGTTTCTAACGGCGTAATCGCGCGATTACAGTAATCTCACTAAAATCGTACGGTTGCAGCGGCTCTTACGTGTATTAACAACGAACTCTCGCGTTTTAAATGCCATCTTGTCGGCAAAAAGAAAACGAAACGTATACGCGATGGAAAAATCTCGCGAATGTAAGATAGATGCCCACTCGTTACTGTTCACCTGTTTACCAAGACCGAGAACGAGGAGAACGTATCCATTGAGAAAGAGACCCAGAGCTGACACGAGGATGAGTAAGACGAAGGCCCAAGGGCCCATTCCTCCTTCTCCCTTATCTATTGATCCCCTCTTGGATATCTTTTTCTCACGCAGAGCATTCGTTCAAGTAAATCTGTCGACCTCGTTGGACTTCCGAATTCTTTTCTGCGACATTTTAATGGCCGTTTCGTCTGAAAAATCTAGAGAAGATAAATATTTTTAATTAAAACAATCTTTTCGCGAACGATAATGAATAATTTATTCAAATTGCGTTCAAACATTGAACATATCTGCCCGCTACAAAACTGTTGATGCCGCTTGCCTGTTATCTCGGTTATTTTATACTATAGTTTCATTGTAAACGTGATTTGCATATTACGCGAAGCGATACGAAGCAAAGCTCATATTTATAGCGACCACATAAGGTAAATGATATTATCTTCAGCGGTATACTTCAGCTCGCCTGTCATTAACATCAGCATTGTAATATTGTATAGATATCGACGTCTGACACGTTAGATTGGACAGTCAAGGACATGTAAAAGGTCATCATATCTTGTTTGGATGTTGATCGACTCGTGTACAATTGCGGCGACATTAATCGTAATCTTTCGACTTGAAGAAAATAAGTAAAAATCGTGTGCAGGTGAATCAATAAGACTTTTCCGGTTGCGGGATGAATAACTCGCGACGCGAAGCGATGCGTCGCGACGAAGCGTAGCGTTGCGTATGACAGCGACGCGATCAATCAAGAATCTATTCATCCGCACAGTAAGTAGTGTGGGCTCAAAAACGCTCGATGGTGGTTTCAAATTTTAAATCTGTCGTTCTCCGTAGATAGCATTACGCGAAACATGAATTATGAGCCAGAATCGACCATCATTCGCGCGTAATCTCGTTTTATTCGAGCAAATAAAAGAGAGAAAGACTCTCATCGATCCGTATCGTCGTATTCGACGACGCAGGAAAACACATGTTTTCCGCGGCACATTGTTTTGCGGATCACGGGGTAGCATAATTCGATTACTTTGGTGCCGCGACAGTTCCATTATCGACCATTAGCGCATCTCCTAGCAGCCGATCCGACTTGCGAGACGCGGCTGCTGCAATCGCCGACTTTCCTTACGCGAAAAGGCGACCTCATTCGTCGTTGTTGAATTTTACAGCATCGACTATTAATAGTCGCTCTAGCTTATATAATTTAAAGTAGGATCCTAAAGCACCATGTGTGTAGATGTGAGAATATTTTCCGGGTTAACAATAAGTATGAAGCGAACTCGAGTTTTCCTCAAACATTTCCAAAATTAGCGATGATATGTACATACATCATGATTGATGGCCCTGCGACTTGACAATGTTTTAAAATTGATAACTTAATCGATAGATTTTTTTTCTGCTAATGGACGCAATGTAAAAATTTTTTCTGCTAATGGATGCACAGTTGACATTTAGAAGCTTCACTTTTTTTCAACCATTAACATAACATAATCTGATTTGTTTCGGTATTGCGTAATTATTTGATTGCTGCATTACTACAGCAAAATGTTCGCTAATCGCATTAAAACACCGAATTTCGATAAAATTTCATTTTCATAAATTACTCCCCTTTCAAACATAACGATGGCGATGTCGCGAATATGGCGAGCGGGGAATTTCATTTAGAATTCCTGCGCGTGCTCCCATACGCGTGATTGAACGCACTATATGGCTATTTACAAGAATTTATTGGATTATCTTTTATTGGTCGTGTACGTCATTATGTTAAAACTTGTTAACGTAAGTCACAAATTCTTGAAGCTAATATAAAAGTAATGAAAAATAAGTCCAACGTAAGTCGAAGCAGATTGCGACGTAAGTCGAAGCAGATGCTTTAATAAGCCGCGGAAGTCGAAACGATAATCTTATTGAAAAAAGCGACAAGAGAGGCATTTTTCTCATCGGATAACTTTTTAATGGATTATACCGAATCAAGGGACAGGATTACGCGACTTCTATCTTTAGAGAGTTCCACATTGATTTTTTTTTTTTTTAAATTACCAATCTAGAACTGCAGATCTTATATCTTCATAGAAAGGTCTACATCGATTTTTCAAGTCGTGCTGGAAGCCTTGTTTTTTCAGCGCCTTTATTCGCCATCAGCAATTTGCGATTTAGACGATGTCCTTAAAGTCAAAGTGTCAACTAAAAACAGATCCCGAGGCAGAGCTATTGTCGTGTCCACTTTAAAAATCGTTTTACGTCATTTTATTTGAAAATCTCATCTGCACAAAATCTGCACAAAATGTGAAGTTTGCTCATCCACTCGGCGTAATCCATTTTTATTTTTAGTTCGCGTCGAGAATTCTGCAACGATGCTGAAAGCAGAATACCATTGAAATTTTGTTTATAAAATTGCATGCGTTTTACACGCATCGATGTGGCATATCATATGGCATAAATTCTCAAACGTCACGTGACTCGAAGTTAAATTCACATGGAATTTCATAATAAATTTGATGAGAAGTGATCCGGAAATTGTTGTCATTGACGATTAATGGGCAAACCGCGGATGCGTGAGTGTGAATAATAAATCCGCTAACGTGTAATCACATGTTATTAGCGGTCCCGTACAATTTTATTACTGACGTGATTGTACAGCTGTGCTTTGTCCTCTCGACTCGGATTATACAGAACAAATCCACCGCGTCCTCTGCTTTTGCGGTTTATGCATACAAAATGTCACGGTACTTTGTGGAATGGAATTTTCAAGGAATGATAACTGTTTGCCTTCGGAAACGGCGGACTCGAAGGAAGCAATCACGTTAGGCGGGAAATTTGTTGGGAACGTATTCGAATGAGATTACAGATCGCTCCTTATCTTTTCTTTTTTTTTGTACATCGACGCGGGCGCATGCCGAAGGGCGATCGATTGCGACCCTCCGTGTCTTTTATTCCTTTTTCGCTCGATTTCCTGTGAAACCACCTGTACCGCGCGGCTATCACGCGAACCGCCGGCACACGTGCATCGACATTACCGCCCGACCTTCCACTCATTCTTTTTTTCGTGTCCCACTGACCGCGAATTTTGTACGAGAATCCCATAATTCATGCACACGCGAGGCTCGCGCGCTCGTCGCCGTAGATTTGCCGCACTGCCATTAATCCTGACCTGTCGTTTCGTGATAAATTGACCTGCTATGTCGTCTCTTGTTGTATTTATGCAGAGGGGATGATGATAACATTTTCACCTTCATTTGCATGCCTGGCGATCGCGGAGATTAAGGACATTTTCTTTTTTAAAGCCTTAAAATTTTTCGTTGTACGCGGCGGCGTAAAACGTTATCCCACACTATCCTGAATTGGTTCCGGCTAGGTAAATTTGCCGATTGGCGAAGTCGATTATACAGAATGGCACCTTTGGATAACTTGTTGCGTTAATGGTCCGCGCAAACGAGGCACGAGACGGTCCCGGGAGGGCCATCCCTTGCGAGGATACCAATCGCAGAGCTCTCGACGGAATATCACTTATCGCTCTAGATACTTGTTGCGCGAAATTCTTTGTGTCAGTGGATCTGGAGTCTTTGAAGGAGTCTTTAAAGGAGCCCCACGGGGCCAATCGATAACTCGAAGGCATTCGCGCATTCGGAATTCTGCGTTGGCGATTAGTTATATTCGTTCGAGATTCGATGATATGCAAAACGAGAACGCGAAATATTACGGCAGGCAATGAGAAATGGAATTGATATTTCCTTCTCCGCCAATCTCTCGCAATGTATTTCCCATTTATTGGAACTAAATTAATAATTACGTGCACCGCGCAAGCAGTTATATTACATAAATTTAATTACAGCCGCCGAGGGCTGATAGATGTGTTCTTCGGTAACGAACATGTACGTGGACACGCGCGCGGGATACCGAAAGGCATCCTGTTTCAGCTAACGCCCGGCGCTAGTTTGACACACCATGGCAACGTTTCCGCGGCGGGAGATGATAAACCGCGACGCGAACGTGGCACATGTTGCACCGGCAGTTCGGCACAGGGTTTGTTACATCCGAGAGACTCTGTGTGCTCTCCGCTCTGTCATCGACAAGGGAAACTTCTGTTGCACAAGAGTTTCGGCAGGGTATCGACAGAATGTTAAAAGCGATGGACGATCGACTCGATATTTTATGATCATAAGTGAAATTCATCAAAATCCTGTTTGTAAATAAATTTACAAACTTAATTTAGTTGTAACATAGAAATCATTCCTTGCAAAAGGTATGCAAAGTCGATATTCACATTCATTGTTGGCGATTTTTCGCGATGTCGATTGGTTCTTTTGTTCATATCGTGAGCGGCTGTTTTATCCAAGTTTTTGTCATTGCCAGCTGTTTCTCAAGTACACATTTTATATTTCTTTATAATTAAAAGAATAAATAACACGCGTGTAGCGCGTGCTAATAACATGAATTGCGGTGCAAAGGCTCTATCAGATTCACTTGCTTTTTGCTTCTCTCTTTTTATTTGCATTTCTTGTTTATTCGATTATTGGCTGCTTTGCGCTTACACATTGCGGACGAATAATGAGATATCTCGCGTATCGTATTCCACTTTAGTACATAAAAATTTACAATCAATATGTATTTTGAGAATATATGTAATTTTAAAATATCTGTTGAAATTAAATATTTAACATGATAATGATTTTTAACTACTAACAAAGCATAAGTAATTTAAAAATATTTAACATGATAATGATTTTTAACTACTAACAAAGCATAAGTAATTTAAAAATATTTCACGCAAAAAAATAACTGGCTATTGGATATGATTAGCAATAAAATGTCTGGTTTGCAATGTATTAAGACAATGTCTGTTTATAAAATATTTTTTCTACATAACTTACACGTATTGCAGTTGTTATAATATTATCGCGTAGATTTATTGATAACGATTATAAGCTTGAGAAACGCGTTATTTACAATTAAAAACTATTGCAACAATATTTTTTTTAATGGTTTCTCTGAGTTATCAAAAAATTATCATAAAATTTGCCAATCATGAAATGTCACATCAAAAACGATAAAAAGGAATTTATATAAGACGTTATTTCTCAAACAACACGCATATCTCTTTAAAGATATCTAAAAGACGTTTGAAAAAAATGATGTCTTTCAGGATGACTTTAGGACATGCGTGTTATTTGGGTTGTTAATTTATAAAATTTTTATATTTTTT